GCATTGAATAGATCTGTAATGATCTAGATCTATATAGATTTGTAGTCATTTGGGTTTTTTTTGAGCTTTGATTTTGATTCAATAAGCTCTTTTCCACTGAAATTGGAATAAATCAAAAATTGGGTTGCAGAGATATCATGTTGGATGTGGACTAGAGAGAGAGACAATCGACCAAAATGAGGATCAAATACTTGGGTGTTGGATTTTTCAGGGTCGGGGAAACCCGGTCCTCGTTAGGGGGCGGGGTCAAGGCGGGGAATGATGGGTTCCTCACTGGCATCGGGACGGGAACGAGAAATTTTATACTTTCGGAGATCAGGAATGGAGAGTATAATCCTGGCCCTGTCGTGGCTCGCTGCCATTCCTATATATATATAATAGTTGAAAAAAATTCGTGCAAAACAGGGGACTATTATTATAGTATATTTGAATTTCAAAGATACAAAAATATTTCTCTCACAAAAATAGAATAAATAATTAAATATATGATAGAATTATCGAGAGAATCAAAAAAGATAAAAGAGATAAATTACATCATGAAAGAAAATTAAATAAAATGTAATCATAATCACTCTATTTTATTTTAAATTTTGAAAAACAATTTTTGAGTTTTTAAAATAGAATTTTTTGTTTCTAGTAATTTTTTAAAAATATTTTGAGTTTTTAAAATAGAATTTTTTGTTTCTAGTAATTTTTTAAAAATATTTTAGTCATTTTTTATTTCTAGATACACACTTAAAAGTAAATTTTTTTAAAAAAATAAAAATAAAAGAAGTACGCAAAAACAAAATCTACTATTTTTTTTAAAAATCTTTTCTAAGCTTTTTTGATTTTTTTAAAAAATTTTTTGATTTTGTTTCTTGGAGTAGAGTTGAGAATTTTAATTTTTTTTAATTTAAATAAAATTCACTAAAAATGAAAATAAGATAATTAAAAAAATTATCAAAAATGCAAACCGATAAGATTGCCAAAGTTTGCATGTGGAAAGAAAAAAAAAAAAAAAGATAAACGAGGATAAATTATAAATACACTCTTGGCATTTGTTTAAAATAGAAATTTTCTCTTATAATTAAAAATTTTTTTGATTTCGTTTCTTGGAGTAGAGTTTAGAATTTTAATTTTTTTAAATTTAAATAAAATTCACTAAAAATGAAAATAAGATAATTAAAAAAATTATCAAAAATGCAAACCGATAAGATTGCCAAAGTTTGTATGTGGAAAGAAAAAAAAAAAAGATAAACGAGGATAAATTATAAATACACTCTTGGCATTTGTTTAAAATAGAAATTTTCTCTTATAATTTGAAAAATTATAAATAAACTCTTCATCAAAAAAAATTATTTAACAGAATTAATCTTAAAAATGAAATTTCTAACTGTTCTCCTGCATAATAATAAAATTACTTGAATTATTAATTGAAATAAAGTTCTAACATTATTAAACACTATTAATTGATTTCATAATTTATTAATAAATGGGCTATTTGTCAAATGTTCGGAATTAAAATTATGAATAAAAATAAATTATTCAAATATATTCCGTTCAATTATTTATATCCGAACAACTAGTTTATGTTCATAAATATATATTCGATCTTTTGACTTTTGTTGTAATATTTATATCCGAACACTATTTATGGCGTTTACTGAAAGTTTGTACTATGTGTAAATAGAATTACCCCAAAAGAATACCTTTATGAAAGTTGATTTTTACAAAATAACACTCAAAACTCCCAAAATAGTTTCTCCAAATGACTAATGAAACAAAAAGAGGTTCGAGTGCAATTACGGTAAAAACAGGTCAAAAAACAAGTGAGAGAAGATAAATGAGAGAGATAGAGAGAAAAGAGATGGACGAGAGACACACAGAGAGAGAGAGAGACAAACAGACAGACAGAGAAGTGTGACGAGTGAGAGAGAGAAAGAGAAGAGAGACAGAGACACAGAGAGAAAGAGAGAGACAGACAGATAGAGAAGAGTGATGAGTGAGAGAGAGACAGAGAGACAGAGAGACAGAGAAGAGAGAGAGACATAGACACATAGAGAAAGAGAAAGACAGACAGATAGAGAAGAGTGATGAGTGATGAGTGATGAGTGAGAGAGAGAAAGAGAAGAGAGACAGAGAGATAAGAAGATGAAAAAATGAGTGAAAAGAGAAATGTTCAAAAAAGTAAAACGACGTCGTTTTTTTTTTTTTTTTTTTTTTTGCCTTTTTCGTGAATACAGAGGAAAGAGACGAGCATTTTGTGACTATATATATATGAAGCCGTCTCAAAGTCACAATATATATTATTTATTTATTTATTTATTTGCAACGGTACCTATTACAGTCGCAAAAAACTCTTCTTCTTTTTTTTTGCGACTGCAGCTGGTACCGTCGCAAAAACTCTATTTTTTTGCGACAGCAATCTCTGTCGTCGCAAATACTCTATTTTTTTTTTTGCGACAACAATTTCTGTCGTTGCAAATACTCTCATTTTTTCGCGACAGCATTTTATACCGTCACAAATACTCTATTTTTGGGGACGGCAAGTTGTGCCGTCTCAAAGAGTCACATTTTTTGCAACGACAAGTTGTGCCGTCGCAAAAAGTCATTTTTGCGACAGCAAATGTGCCATCGCAATAATTTCTATCTTTTAAGCCCACTTTTCTTGTAGTGTTATACATATAAAATAGATATACACGTATAATAATTTTACAAATAATTAATAAACATAATTATATTAATAACATTTCTTTGATCCCTTCTTGTGCATGGCCATTGCCAGTACATATAGATAATTCTTAATTTTCTTGTTAATATTTAAATTTTATTTTTGGTACTTCTAAATTTTATTTCCTTTCTCCTCTCTCAATTGGTCATTAGATTTATAAATTAACTTTTTCAAGTTTTTCTCTTAAAATTTAAATATTAGAAAAAGAAAATAAGGATAACATTTATGAAAGGTAAAAACTAAAATGATTACAATAAAAATACAAAAACAAATAAAAATGCATAAAAATGTCCATTTCATTTTATAAAAATACAGAGATGTAGCCAAAATGCGTAAAAGTGTTTGTTTAATTACATTTGTTTTTGGACTAACATATGGTCAAATTTAAGGTTTAAGATTTTTTATTTTATAATAGAACATAAAAAAAATTTATCAACATGTTTCAAATTAATATATACTATTATAAATAATTCAACTTAAATTGCTTAGTTATGTTTTTGGTCTTTGTTTTAGAAATAATTTTGCTATACTAAGGGTAAGCGACTTTTTAAAATATAAAATTAATTAGTTATTATAAAATTAATGTCTATAAAAATAAATATTTTTAATTATTATTATTTTTTTTAGTACAGTAGAAGCGTAAATTGCTAGGAATACAAATATTCCATGGAAATGTTCATATTTAAGTTATAATTCTACCTAATTATTCTAATTTCTAGAGGTAAGCATGGGTTAGATTGATTCGATTTAGCTGTAAACTAAGACCAATCTATTATCTAAAGTTCCATAAAATTTGGAACCAAAACCAATTCGGGAAAATTTTGGAAGCAATCCCAACTGAACCACTAAACCACGGTTTCGTTCGGTTTGGAATCACGGATTTTTAAAATATTATGATTATTTACAATATGATCACAAAAAATTATTTACAACCTAAAAATTGTTTACATTTTTTTTTTTATTTTAAATCTAGTTCTATCACTATACAGAAATGAACTTAAAAAGTATAGAGTTATAATTTATATATATATACATATATATTTAGGGGTTGTTTGAAAAATGCTAGATTAGTATACTTTTTGACTTTTTACAAAAAAATGTGAAATGTGAGTTGGGGTTAAAGTAATGTGGTAGAGAGGTGATGTGACTCAAATAAGATAATGTGCTAAAATAGCATGTGCTATTTTAGCACATGCCAAACACACTCTTGATCCTAATAAAATACTTTTTCTATTTACATTCGGTAACAATTTATATAGGTTAACTCCCATTTAAAAATGTAGTAATCCAACATCCAACAACTGACTTTTGCTAATCAATATATAAATATATATATATATATATAATCTAAAGGTCTAGTTTGAACTGGATTCACCGGGAAGTACGATTCGCATATTTCAAAATCCAGAACCAAACCATGCATTGAGAAAATCATACCAAAATGTACGATTTGGTTTGGACCAGACCGATTTACGATTTTTGTGCACATTTCCATAATTTCAATGTTAAGTTTATCTTTTTTTATAATCGTGATTTCTTTTTCCTTTGATAGATATATATGATCAAGGTCATGATTCAATAATAATTTAATTTTAGCTTCATTAAATTTTAATTTTTAAATTATTAATAAGACAAATTACACTGATAGTCCCTATATTTTGACCCTGGTATCATTTTGATCCCCGTAATTTAAATTAGCTCAATTTTGACATTGAATTTATAATTTTGTCTTAGTTTGGTCCAATTAATAGCAACTGATAGCATTTCCTTATGAAAAATGTGCAAAATAAGTGGCATGTGTCATCATTTTAGGGACAAAATTGTAAGCCTGTGCAACTTAATAAGTTAACCTTGACCAAACTCAATGATTATTTTTTTTCAAAACCCCTAACGGTATTATCAATAAGACCAAATTGTCACAAATTTAAAATTTAGAGTCAAAATTAAGTCAATCAAAAGTGTAGGGATTAAAATGACATAAGAGGCAAAATATAATAACTACTAGTATAATTTATCTTTATTAATTAATATTTTCATCAATTTGATTACAAACCATGCAATGATTTCTAAAAAAGAACAAAATCAATTGAATGATGAGTTTACATAGTAATACAGTAAGTGTGAAAAAAATGCCAAGGTAGGATTAATACCCAAAACAATGAATTTTTTTCTTAACTTTTGTGTTAGGAACATTTTCTCCACATTTATCATTATATATAGATATGTATATTTGTATTATTGTTTACCTTGATTTCGTTGCTAATTTAGTCTGCCAATGTGAATTAAGCAAGCCAATCTCAAAATCCAAAACCATTGTGCATCCAAAGGGTTCCACAAATGCTTCGAAAGACTAAGAATTATCAGAATAACTATGCACCAAGGGTGGTTTCTGTTGGTCCATATCACCATGATCATAACAACCTCAAGCTTCAACGAATGCAAGAGCTCAAGCCTCGAATCACAAGTAAGCTGGTCTTAGATGACCAACAGTTGCTTGAAGACTTACACGAGCGGCTTTTCCAGAAGGTCAAGCAATTGAGAGATTGCTATGAAGAGAAATCAACAAATGAATACAATGACGATGAATTCATAAGGATGATGCTCGTGGATGGTTGCTTTATTTTGTATTTCATTAACTATGTCACAGAGCGAAAAGTACATAAGGTTGAAATAAAAAACCACAATGTAGCCTTTATACGACAGGACTTGTTCTTGCTGGAGAATCAACTTCCCTTCATTGTCCTCGAGGAACTTATTAATGACCAAAGAATATATGCACAAGGTTACACGATGAAAATGATTGATATGTTCATCGCCGATAGCATTATGGCACCAAATGTAGGCAAGAATGCTGAAGAGCTATGTCCCTTGCATCTTCTAGATGTTCTGCACAAAAGACTTGTAGGTTGCAAACATGTTGAACTTTGTGTATCAAATCGATACACTTTTCGCAATGTTGAGGAGCTCATTGATGTAGGGATCCAAGTTAAGAAGAACAAGAAGAGTAGTTACTTGACGGATATTAACTTTAGTTCATTTTGTAACTTTGGGAGGCTTGAACTTCCCACAATAACACGCGTCAGGGCTTGGTGGATCGCCAATGACGCGCCGCCGGGATAGGCGAAGACGTCTGTCACGCCGTCGCGCTCGAGCGCTGCGATGGCTTCCAATTCAGATTGTGAATGGCCGAAAATGGGAATGGCCGAAACTGGACCAATGGGATACCTCGGATGACCTGTACATGCATGTGTACGAAGAAATGGATGAACTTGAGCAGTGGCTTCTTGAAGGTGAAATTGAGAGTGGTGATGAAGAAAGAGACGGGGAGAAAGAGAGAGAGATCGGTTCAGTCATTCCGAGAGCAAGCTCGAGTGGGTGTTGCTGGTTGCCTCCGAGAGAGAGGATTTGGGCAATGATGGGAAGGTATGTGTACAAAATAAGCGGAATAGGTTGAGGTCCGGCGGGCGGCCAAGGCGAGGTTGCTGCCCGCCCGCCGGAAGGCGAAGAACACCAAGATCTTTAACCTATAGCTCTGATACCATGTAATAAATAAATTGAGATGTATATTATTGATTGATGTCATACAAGATTGTTGTGTTTCTGTATTGTATGTGATGTAATTACAAGAGAAATCAACTCTCTCTTTATAGAGAGAAGCAATATACATTGGATTCCAAATGATGGGCATTACCACCGAAAGCAAAAAGAGAAAAGAGAAAGCTATACAATTGGCAATATTATATTAACAAACAAGAAGAGTAGTTACTTGACGGATATTAACTTTAGTTCATTTTGTAACTTTGGGAGGCTTGAACTTCCCACAATAACAATTGATGACTCAACTGAAGCAAAGTTCTTGAACTTGATAGCCTATGAAATGTGTGGAGATACCCCAAACAATCTTTGGGTGACCTCTTACATCTGTTTTCTTGATTCACTTATTGATAATCCAAACGATGTTAAGGAGTTGAGATCGGCTAATATACTACAAAATTGTCTTGGTAGTGATGTTGAAGTAGCTGCTCTCTTTAATAAGATAGGCAAAGACTTGGTGCCACACCCTTGTGCCTACGCAAGTGTGAAAAAAGAGATTCAAAGTCACTATGATAACAGAGGGAAGGCTTTTATTGCTCAGTTCAAGCACAGATACTTCAAGAGCCCGTGGAGCTTTCTTGCTTTATTGGGTGCATTATTAGCTCTAGTTTTCGGTGGCATTCAAGCTGGCTACCAAATTTGGCCTCAAGACAGCGAATGCGATAGTGTTTGCAGGTATATCAAAATCAGTAAGCACATATGAGGTGAGCTCATTTGTTGTTGTTCGGGGGGATCAGCAGAGGATGCTCTTTGTCTCTGCTTCTCTTCTTCATTATTTGTGGGTTTTGTAACAGTGGAAGATTTGTGAGCCATTGTTCACCAGTAGATGTATGTTGTGCTTAGTTGATTGGATGTTGGATGGGTTTGGATGCAGGTTTGATTACCTCTGTTAAGGAATGTTTGGTATTGGCATTTTGTATTGTGTGTTGTTGTGTAGCTAGTAATGGTTGTAGTGGAGTTTTTTTGTTGGTCTCTCACCAACTTTTGGTATTGTGCTAGCATATGATTGGGATTTCCTATTCAGTGCCAATCAAGTTGGAATCGTTTAGCTTGGTTATGATGTTTTTTGTACTCACCATTTTATTAATGTATCATTTATTATCTCATGTTTTGTACTTTGATTTTCTATTAATAAAGTTCTTTTATTTACTAATCAACAAATAAAAAAATAAAATAGACGAACCAAAAAATTGTTTTAGTTTCATTATGCAAGTGCTTCCAATTTGGACCTTGTTCTTCAAATAAAGTGTATATTCCCTTAGTTGTATTTATATATTGTATCGTAACAATGATCAAATTTAAAATAACATCTGATTGTGTTACCAATGCACCCATTGGTATAATGAGCCCTACTTGGAATGTCTTTCACTAATTATTTATTGGTGACATAAGATAGCATTCGAAATTTGGTAATCAAATTTAATTATTCTAGCATTGGATATGTACAAATTGCTTTGATCTCAAATTTTTTTTTTATTGGTAGGAAAAAAAAATTATTGATGGATTCAAGCATAATAGAAAATAGATATAAATAAATAAATCCATAAAAAGAAGCTAAAACTATGTTGAATTTAGGAAATAATCATATTGTAATTATAGTAGTGTGTATAAAATCTGTGATTATGTAAATTATATATTTAGTGTCTTTATACTTCTGTTTCCTATTTTGTAATATTATTTCATTATATATCCATGGCTCTACCTCATTCAAAGGTAACCCAATTCATTCTTTTTGGTATCAGGGCAAGGTTTTTACTTTCATCGACTATCCCTTCTCTCTACCCACCATCATCGATTGTTAGCCCACCTCTTCCTAGCCTTTAACAACTAGCCTTAGCCTCCGATAGTCAACCCACATCTTCTCCTCCATTCGAAATGCACACCCAACCCCTCCAGACCCTTTGTTGGCCCTTATCCATCATTGACAGGTCTTCTTTCTCTATGTCGAGGGGTGGTGCTTTGATGTATTAAGCACCCTTTTCAGTTTTATTGTCCTTTGGGCTATCATGTTTCTTCGATAGCATTTATTTGGATTAGTCATTGGATTTTTTTTTGACTTCTCACATTTTGCTTCTGATATGCCCACCAAACCTGTCCCAGTTAGTTCTGATTTGTCTCTTTCTCATCACATTCATGTAAATTGTATTACGAGTGTGGTGTTAAATGCGAAAAACTTTGCCACCTACGACCGCTCTCTTAAATTCTATTTATGAAGAAAAGGAAAGGCCCATTGGCTCCTATCTTCCATTGTTCAGCCTACTACGACAAACCCTACACTACAAGAAAAAACACATTTGGCGACTAAAAATTTAGTCGCCAAAATTCAATTTTTAGTAGCCAAAAGTCGATTTTTTAGTTTCCCCGACTAAATTTTTTAGTCGTCGGTTTGGTCGCCGGAAGACGGTCGGGAAAGGTATTGGCGACTAAAAAACTTTTAGTCGCCAAAAAATAAGTCTTTAGCGACCAAAACTTTGGTCGCCAATAGTTAATTATATTTTTTAAATTATACATTTACCAACCAATGTTTTAGTGTCCAATAGTCAATTATATTTTTTTAAATTATACATTTACCGACCAATGTTTTAGTCGCCAATACTTAAGGAATCAGCGACCAAACCTTTTAGTCACCAAAAGCTCATTTGTGAAAAAAAAAATTACACTCAGTAGCTTCTCATCTATTCTTGTGGAGATTCGAACCATCAACCTCTCACACCATAAACCTTACACAACACACTATTTCCACTACGCCTCTATAACACTAAATTATTATATATGCAACATATATTATTTATATAGCACATAGACCCGTATTAATATAAAAGTATATATATAAAGATAATTATTTTTTATTGAACATAATTTATGTAAAAATAAATTATTTACTAGAAAAAAAAAGAGACCACTTTTGGCCACTGAATATAATTTTAGTCGCCAATTCTATACTTTTGGCTACTAAATATTTTTTAGCCATTAAAAAATTTAATTCCCATACTAAAATTACCACTTCTGGCAACTAAACTTCTTTTTAGTCGCCAAAAAGCCTTACTTTTGGCTACTAAACATCTTTTTAGTCGCCCAATGCCTCACTTTTGGCTACTAAAAATTTTTTAGTTGGTAAAAGTCTCACTTTTGGCGACCAAACATCTTTTTAGTCGCCCAATGCCTCACTTTTGGCTACTAAATTTTTTTAGTCGCCAAAAAGCCATACTTTTGGCTACTAAAATTTTTTTAGTTGATAAAAGTCATATATCGGCGACCAAACAGATTTTTAGTTGCCAAAACCTATACTTTTGGCTACTAAATTTTTTTAGTCGCCAAAAATCTTTACTTTTGGCTACTAATACTTTTTTAGTCGCCAAAACCTATACTTTCAGCGACCAAAGGTGCGTTTTTAGTCGCCAAAGATGCTTTTTCTTGTAGTGCTACACGGGCTTAGTGGAATATTGATAATTTCACTATTCTAGGATGGATGTTCAATTCCATGGAGAGTCGTATTTACCACATGTTTCTTTATTGCGACACAATTATGAGCTTATGGCATGCCTTGTCACAGATGTATACTTATGCTCATAATGATGCTTGTATCTTTGAGCTATATTAGGACATTGCTCGTGCTCCTTAATTTGTTTTGGGCCTTTCAGTGTCAATGTTCTTTGGATATCTTTAGGCTTATTGGGAAGAATTGGCTCAATATGAGCCCTTGACTAAGTTACCCGCAGACACTGCATCTTTTGTGTCTAAACATGTTGTCCGCTAGCATACTTATTAGTTTCTAATTAATGGGTTTAAATTTCGAGCTTGAATCCCTTTGGACTCAGATTTTAAACACATCACCCATGCTGCCCCTTTATGAGGCCTTTGCTACTATTGATAGTGATGAGAGCCGCTAGTATCTGGTTGAGCCTAGTGTTCCTCCTCCATTTTCTCCAGTTTTATCTAATCAGATGGCCCTTGCTATAAATTCTAGTTCTTGAGGTTCCACCAGTTCTGTTGCCTGCCATCATTGTGGTGTGCCTGAACATGTTAAGGCCTGTTGCTTCAAACTTCATTTTGATTTGAGGCAACTCTCTTCTCATACTCGTGGTACTAGTGCTCTCTGCACTACTGCTTTGGTCTTCTCCTATTTCTAAGTCTCCTAGTGTCCCTAATCTACAGGCACACCTTGGGTCTCTCACTACTAGTTCTCTTGGTCCATCATCCTCTATTGTCACCCTTTCTACAGGTACTTTTACTGCTTTCCATGTTCGGTCTGCTAGTCTTTAATGGGGTCTAGATTCTGGAGCTAATGATCATATGACTAGTGACTTTTCTTTCCTTTCCTCTCCTAAACCCACTATTGTTGTCCAATCTGTGTGTCTTGCTAACGGTTCTTTCTCCTTTGTCCAGCATAAAGGGGCCGTGTCTTTATCTTCTGATATTACTTTATCTTCCGTGTTGCATGTTCGCAATTTTGCTTATAATCTCTTATCTGTTAGTTGGCTTGCCAAAACATTTAATTGTGTCATCTTCTTACCTCCTCTTGTCTT